GCAGAGGCTTGTGGCAGGGTCAGGGGTGCACACACGTTACCCCTCCCTCTCAGAGGGGTAACACAGAGCTGTATAAGGTCTCCCAGGAACCACAGACTAGAGGCTGGGAGCTGATGGAGACAGGAGACCAGCTGAACCAGCGAGATGCCCAGCACATACTGCCTCCCTCCCGCCAGGACAGAGCAGGGAGCTCCGGGGTCCATAACGAGCTGGAGTGACTTGTTAGCACTGAATTAAGAGGCTTGGTGGAAGGAAGCGCACGGGTGACACAAGCTGTGTGGGGCAGGCGGGAGCTGAGCGATAGCAGCTGGAATCCCCAGCAATCTGGTGAGCACGGCTCAGCCTCACACTCCTGGCTTGCCACGATCGGCCTCGACAGCCCCTGACAGTTGGCATTAATCACGCACATCGCCCCAACACAACTCTTTACTGGCCATCAATTTCCTGTGGGTTTTAAAACTAAAAAACAAAGACAAAACCGCGTCGTTTGGCCGCCACTGAGAAGCACATTAAGGGGCTGTCAGCTTCTCGCCATGCACCCTGCATCACTCTTTAAGCACATGAGAAGTTCATTATCCCCGGAGCTCTGGCAGCCATGGGGAGACTGGAGCAGGGAGCGTCGCAAAGGTGCTGCTGCCCTCAGCTGTGTCTGGTGGCTCCTTGGCCCTCCTGGCAGCCTCAACAGGGGCCGAGGGTCCAGGCAAAGAGGAGTGTGGCTGCAGGGGGGCTGGAGGCTGCTCCATGGCAGGACAGGGCACTCCTGGCCACAGAGCTTTGCTAGGCTCTGATGAGAGCAGACTTTCCTGATGGTCCTTGCAGGATGACACTGCACCTACACCATGGGGATGAGCATCTTTGTCCCCTGACAGCCTGACACGCGTTTACCAGCCTGTGGGTGCTCCCTGACAGCCTGAGCTGCACTCCCCAGCTTGGTGACATCTCCGGCAGCCCAATCCCACGCCTGCCATAGTTTGTGGATGCTCCCTGGCAGCCTGACACGGAGCTCTCTTTAACATGAGCCCATGTAAAAAAGCAACAGCTCGTTTGATTTATGATACTTCAGAACAACTAAGATTCAATTGCTCTGCACGTCCCTGGCTCTGATTACCTCCTAAATGAGATAAACTGATGGCAATTTATCCCCAGACCTCACCAACTTTCCCAGGATGCTAACCTGAGCTGCTCGTGCCTAGCTCACGGGCATGGGGTGGGTGCAGGCAGGTGCAGGCAGCCTGAGCACAGCACAAACCTGTCCCTCACATACCCCCGGGCTGCTCCTGCCCGTAGGGATGCTGTGACAGAGGCTGACCCTGATACCCTGCCTGGCCCCATGCAGCTCCTGGTGGGTGGGAAGTTCTGGGGTGGTGTCCCTCCACAGTACTCCCTGCACCAGCACAGCCACACTGATGTGAGCTAATGGAAACCACGGCTCCACACTGGGCTGTCCCCATGTTCCTGCCACAACAGTGAACCCTCCGCAGAGGGATGAGCACCACAGGGGAACAGCAGCTTGGCCACAATGGATGGCAGCTCTGCCACAGGGCCCAGCAGCCCTGCTCCTGGTGCAGCAATTCCACACTTTCACTGCGTTGACTATGTGGAAGCAGAAAACTTGAATTGCCTGCTCTGAAAAAAAACGCCCTAACTGTTCAAAAGCAGCCAGAAAAAATTCAAGGGTGTATCAGTTGTACTTATGGACACCAGTCCATGGCACAAACCATCGGCTGTGCCCATGGTGTGGGGCAATGTTCAGCCCAGGGTTCACGGTTGGACCATGCAGACATTGGGATGGGACCTCAAGCAGAGGCTCAGCACCTCCTTGTACTTGTTGCCAGTCTCCTGCCAGTCATGCAGGACAGCAACCCATCACAGGTGGCCACCCAAGCACCAGCCCCAGAGTCACCTGCTCTTCTGCCTCTGCCCTGGCCTGCTGGTCCTGGCAACGAGCTGCCACAGTGTCCAGAGCCGAGTCAGTTCTTGCAGCAGTCCTGGAGCTCAGAGCAGGAGACCAACCAAGTCACTCACAAAGGCACCAGGGGCAGGAGCCATGCAGCAGACATGTGGCAGGCAGGGAATGAAAAGGATGTGTGACCCAGCTCCATAATTCATACTGAGCACAGGGATGCACACAGTCCTCTCTTGACCAGGATGTCTCCCTCACACCAAAATGGAGCACACAGCTCATTGATGCTGCAACTGGCTAAAACCAAGCTGGGAAGCTCCAAGTGCAGCAACAGTGGCTGCTCCCATGGACTCCAAGCACGGTTCTACTGGCACAGACGCTGCCCACAACAGCAGGTCCTGTTGATGCAGGGCAAGTTGGGAGTGCGACAGAACTGACCCAGCCTCTGGGACTCCAATTTTGCAATTGGATCAAATTTCCAATATTTCGAGATTATTTCAAAACATAAATGCAAGTTCAGTTTGTCAATACCTGACCAAAACCCAGAAACTCACAATGCAGCAGCCCACAGCACCCCTGTGCCCCAGCACAGGGCAGGGAGCAGCTGGTTCCGTCAACTCTGCCCAACTGCAGCACTGAGCTAGCAGATGTTGCACCCAGTCACCCACTGGAGAAGGACACAAGGGCTTGGAAAGTCTGCATTCACGCTGGAGACAGGGAGGATGGGCTGCCTGTGTGCCTGCGGGTTACAGATGCCCCTTCTGCTGTGCCGTGCTCTCCTCACCCCTCCCATGGTGCTTGCACCGCTCCTTCCCTCTGCAACCCCGGAGCTCAGCCACCTGCTGCCATGCACTTTGGCACCAGCAGCTCTCAGAGCGGGGATTCCTCCTGCTCCCGGTACCGGTGCCAGAGGCGCTGGCAGCCGGAGGATCCACAATCTGCAAGGGCTGTGCAGCGACAGATGAAGTTTGGTAACTTCGCTGGCAAATGAAGTTCTGTGTTGATAAACGCCAAGGAATGCACGTTGTAGAAAAAGGTTACATTGCTGGAACACCTGCTAGGGCATTAAATTAACCATATCAACCTGAGACAGGGCCTGTACTTTAGGTAAGACAGACCTCCGCCCAGCTCACCACCACAGCCAAGGACCAGTGCAGGAAACAACAAAAATGCTCTGATGCCCTCATGCTCGCCACATGTCTCCACCCCCATCACTCCACTTCCAGGGATGCTGCCAAACCAGGAAGGACAGAAATAGTGAGTGTGTGTCTGAAAAAACATCCCTATGAAATGATGGAAAAACTGGGATTGTTCAAAGACTCCTGGCCTGGGCACACAAGGAGAGGGGTGACAGTCCTCTAGCCTGTGCATCTGGGAGCAAAGGGCTGGGAATTCTGCCAAGCACACACGTGTTGTTGAAAAGGAACTAATCAAATTTTAAGACTTCAAGCAGTGGTTAGTCTGCGTTACTGCTTCATAAAAGTGTTCCCACATTCAATTACCTTTTCCAATAGGAAATTGCATTACATTCTGTGTAACGTGAGGTCCCAGCATCTGCACCTCTCACATTCCGTCAGCTGCGCTGAGCAGCCGCAGGACCCAGACCTCCCCTGCAAGCGCTGACACATCAGTCCTGTGCTTCTTGGTCTTTGTTGTGGTCAGATGAGAGCTCTCATGTCCACATCATAAACCCAATCAGCTTTGGGATCAGAGGTCAGCTTTGGGACCTCCTCTATAACTCTTTCTTAGCATTTTATTTACAGGATAGGACATACTACTCCAGCATGTGCTTTCTCAGTCTTAAGTGTGGGGGTGCAAAATCATCCCCTCCTTCACTATCCCACTATTCACACAAAGAATGAGCCTCTCCTTTGGCCAAGCACTGGGCTGAGAACTGCAAACCAATTTGGGAAAGGCAACAATGGGTCTGAGGAGGCAACATACACACAGAGCTAAGAACAAAGTGCAACTACAGGCAACGCTTCTTGCTATCCAAGGGACACCAGTTTGACAGACTCAAATGATGCTCAAGGTGCCTCAGCCACTGCAGAGGTGAAGCCTGTCTTAGACTTGGTGCATTTCAGATGCAGACAACTACAACAGCAAAAGAGGAGCAACAGAGCTGCACATCATCGAAGCAATGATTCCAAGAAAAAGAACTTGAGCTGTTCTGCTATGGGACACCTGGGCTGCTGGACTGCAGGCAGAGATGAGATTTGGAGCAAGATGCCAGGACAGCTGCAGCACCTTCAGGTACAGACTAATATTTCCTGGTTTGTTTTGCAGCAACTGTTAGCTTCAAACACTCATACTGAACCCTGCTCCCCTCTGAATTACATCTTTACTTTGAGTAAGTTATTGAGCGCTGTGGGACAGGATGACCAAGAGTAAAGTCATATCTCACTTTTTCCAGTGGTTAACCATAGATGCTGGTTTGCAGAACATGGCTGCCAGGCTCATCTCTGCCTGGACAAATTTGGTGTCTTTTCCCAGCAAAATGCTTCCCCATGCCTTGCAGCCTCCCTGTCAAGTTTTGGGTCCCTCTTCAGCAACCACAGACACCAGAATTTCTCAACACAAATCTATCAGTACTCTGAGCATTGAGAAAGCAACACACCAGCCTTCAGCTGGTCCCCTGAAGAAGACAAGCTTTTCCAAAGGACTCTTGTCTTGAGGCAGGTGCCCAGCAGAGGTGTTTTAAACTATGGAAGTTTGGCCAATTTACAAGTCAATTGAAATAGGTCCTTGCAGTGGAAAGTGTCTGAGAGCACACCTTAACCATAGGGTGCACTTTCAGGTCTGCTACTAGAGTTAACAATTTTAATTACCAGTGACTGACTGTGCACACACAGGCATGATGGTGGTTCTGCACAGCATGTGGGAAATGGAGGGAGAGGCAGATCAGAGAAGCTGGCTGCTTTTTCCTCAGCCCAAGCTACTTGGACAAGGAGTGCTCTGAGCCCCAAGTCACCACTGAGCCCCGCATGAGAAGGAAGTACTGCAAGCCCCAGGCACTCAGAGAGCTCCACAGGATGCTTGGCTGCCTGGCACTCTGAACACTGAGCCAGCAGAGCTGCCCCTCACAGACCCTTCCTACCTTCTGCTGCCGTGCTGGGGCCATCAAGCCGAGTTGTCCCTGTGCTCTTTTTCCTGCGATGCTTTTTCCTGTTGGCATGTGGTGACGGAGGCGGTTCCAGCTTTGGGCTGGCAGCACTGGAAATGTTTGGGCTGGAGCTGAGTGAGTCGGCAGTACCGTTAGCTGGGGACAAAAATCAAGCAAGTCATGTACAGTGGGACAGACAGTCTCCTCTTTCCAGAGACACTGAAGAGTTCTGGAGCCAGCTCCAGTACCTGGCTGGCTCGACCCAAGCAACTCCATGAGACAGGGCAGGACCTGCCCAGCTCTGTGGCACAGGGCCACTCCCACACCCACTCTAGCTCAGGGCTGGCAGCTCCTCGGGCAGCCAGGCTGGATCCGCTCCCCATCGGGATCCACGCAGAGTGATCACACAGGGACAGCGCCGGCACCCACGCAGCAGCACCTCTGGAGCAGCCCGATATCCCACCCCCAAACGCATGTTCCCAGGGAAGCAGTTCCCTCACAGGGCAGCGTCCTCACAGGGCTGGACAAGCGCCTTGGGGAGGGACAGGCCCAGAAGGTGATCTTGGCCTCCCAGGGGCAGATCCAGCCCCCAGGATCTGCAGAGCCTCTGCAGAAGCGTTGCCCTCCCAGCACTGCTCTGCCAGACGAGGTGACTGGGGTTGCCACACTCAGGAACCCGAGCATGATGGGCTCAATAGGCTTCCGATACGGAGCTGAAGAAGCTGCATCCCCAGCAGCAACGCACCAAATTTATCCTCAATCATACTGTTCCTTACAATTAATAGCAGAATTAGAAACAATCAGGGAGCTGCCTAATTACTGTCAATTAGAGTGCGCTAATCAAGCTCCGATCACACACACACACGCTGCCGCTGCACTCACCATTAAATGTCAAATTTCATTAGAGACCAGCAACAAAATCAAAAGCCTGACATTCAATTTCAGCAGCACACACAGCGCAGGCTTCCAATCAGCATAAAAATGCAGACTCCGGGGAAGGCAACGAGGCGCAGGAGCCCTCGCTGCACTGTTAACCCTCTCCTAAATCCACTCCTGCCTCTCCAGTGTCCACCCACCCCCAGGGCATAGATGGCAGCTCCATGCCCAGGACCTCTGCCCCAGGCAGCCTGCCATCCTCTCTGCCACAGTCCAGTGTCTCCATCAAGTCCTGACTTCCCATTTCCATGTTCTGTGGCACCTGGAGTTAAAAAAGGAATCACTGCATTGCACAAGGGCAGCAGCTCCAGCAGTGGGATGGCAGGGACCTGCCAAGCCTTTCTACCACCCAGCCCATCCTCTGCTCCCCTGGTTCACCCTGGTTTGGTCAGACTGGATTTTGGGGCTTAATCTGTCTCAACAAACACCAACAGGGGGTGGAGGCACAGAGGGACACAGGCCAGGACCGGCCCCAGGCAAGGACTGAGGTGCAGCTGGTGTCCCCCTCACACAGCTGAAAGAGGTTGCAGCATTGGAGCTCTCCCAGCTCTGGTTTCTCCTGCACTGGCACACACCAGTAGGGTGTTTCTGCTGCTATTTATCCATGGGGAAATAGCTCACCCTTGACAATTAAGAGAGATAAATCTAATAAAATCAGACTCCAGTTTTCTACATGTAAATTACTGATCCTGCTACAGGACTGTGCTTAGAGCAGGTGTGAAGCACCTTCAGCTCCCAGCCATATGTCACAGGGGACCTGAACTTTCTCGTCAGTAGTTACATGTGGTGCCTCCATCCTCCCTCTGCTGCCCACCTGCTCACCAGGATGCTCCCTGGGCCAAATCCCACACCTCTGGCACCCTGACCCACTCCAGGCTCAGTGAGAGGGGCCACACATTTCTGCACTCTTCCTGCCGTGAGCCTGGCAGCTCCTTTCACCCACGTCCCTGCTCTTACTGCCCAGCAGCCAACGCCAGAGCTGGGGCCCCTGTAGGATGGGGGCAGGATTGCAGTGGGGTGGGGGCACCATATGCAACACACTCCCTCTGCTAGAACAGGCATTGCTCACTCTCCTTCCCCAGTAGGACATCTGAAGGCCTCTGACCCACCCAAGGACTTCCAGAGCCCCATCTCTCCAACGGAACCTTCCACAGGCACACCTGGGACCTCCAAACCAGTAAACCTTAGTGGAGGACCCTGGGACCCCACAGGTGAACTGCAGAGCTCCTGCATAAGGGACAGATATAGAATGTGCTGGAACATGTTTATATGACTGTATGGCCCCATCCCATGGCTCTTCCATGTACTCTCCAGGGCACAGCCAGAGCAGACATTCTGTCCCCAGGAGCTGGGATGGCAGCTTACAGCCTTGCTACATGCCCAGAATCAGCTCTGAGCACAGGAAAATTCCTCACCTGCCCTGCCATGCAGAACTGGAAACACAGCAGAGCCTGGACACTGGCAGAGCTGGGGCTCAGGGGTGCTGCAGGACAGCCTCACTCAGCTCAGCTCCTTGATGGAGGGGTGGTTGTGCTGCTTAGTTCAGCACATGCTGCCGTGTGGAAAGCGCTGCCCACCCAACAAAGGCCTCCTCTTTCATGACACTGAGAATCCACTTCTGTCAGCTGTGGGGGACACAGAGCAGGGATGCAGTGCTGGGAACTGCCTGGAATGCAGGGCTTGGGGTCCAGCACAGTGTGGTGGGACCTGAGAGTAGGTGAATAGCCACCATGCAGGACAACAGTGAGCACTGAGATGACATCTCACCACGTCACTGGCAGGAGCAGCAGCATAGAATCACAGAATGGTTTGGGTTGGAAGGGACCAAAGTCACGAAGTGCCACCCCCTGCCATGGGCAGGGACACCGTCCACTGTCCCAGGCTGCTCCAAGCCCTGTCCAGCCTGGCCTTGAACACTTCCAGGGATGGGACCACCACAGCTTCTCTGGGAACCCTGTTGATTTTCACCATCCTTTCCTTATAAAACACCTCTTCCTTATATCTAGTCTAAACCCACCCACTTTTAGTTCAAGAACGTTATTCCTTTTCTGCTACAACAGATCGTGCAGATCAGCTCTCATTTGAGTCTTCAGTTACTGTGCATAGAGGAGGGAGATTGGTCCAGGTGCTGTGAGCATGGACAGCTCCTCCATGGACAAGAACAGGACAGGAAGCAGAAGGATGGGGGCAGATGGACAAGGGTCAGAAGGACAGGGAGCAGAGGGGTGGGGGCATGGGCTGGCTTGCTCTCCTGTGCCACCCAGGGAAGAGCAGGGCACAGCACGGCCGCACCAGCCCCCGGCTCCGCAGAGGAGCAGCTGGGAGGAAGGATGAGACCTGCCATGACAGCTCCTGGGGCAGGAGGGAACTGGGGCAAGGAGCCGCTCTCCAGAGGGCTCACGTCACAAAACCGATCTGTGCCAAGGCATGTGCCAAGGCAGTGCTGCGCGAGGGCATCAGACATGCTGCTTGTGCAGATGGGGCTCGGAGGTCCCGCTGCCTGCGCTCATGGCTCCTGGGGGCCAGGCCAGGTGGGACCCTCTCCTGGCCCGGAGACAGGCAGACACTCCCATGTCCCGTCCCCTCAGCATTGTGCTCCCTCAGCACTGTGCTCCCCTCAGCACTGTGCTCTCCCTGTAACTCTGCTCCCCTCAGCACTGTGCTCCCCTCAGCACTGTGCTCCCCCTGTAGCTGTGCTCCCCCCAGCACTGTGCTCCCCTCAGCACTGTGCTCCCCTCAGCCCTGTGCTCCCCTCAGCCCTGGGCGCCCCCTGTAGCTGTTCTCCCCTCAGCCCTGTTCTCCCCCT